GATGCACAGACCTCTCCAGGCTAGACAATGGCACCCTGACTGCCATTAGGTATTGGGATGAAATACTTGGACCCATTGTCAGACCCTACGCTGGTGCAGTGCATCCTGGGTTCCTCCTGGTGCACGACCATGCCCGGCCTCATGTGGCAAGAGTATGCAGGAAGTTCCTGGAGGATGAAGGAATTGATACCATTGAATGGCCCCCACGCTCACCTGACCTAAATCCAACAGTACACCTCTGGGATATCATGTTTCGGTCCATCCGACACCACCAGGTTACACCTCAGACTGTCAAGGAGCTCAGTGATGCCCTGGAAGGAAATACCCCAGGACACCATCCGTTGTCTCATTAGGAGCATGCCCCGACCTTGCCAGGCATGCATACAAGCACATGGGAGCCATACAAACTACTGAGTATCATTTTGAGTTGCTGCAATGAAACTTCAGCAAAATGGACTAGCCTGCTGCATCTTTTTGATTTTGATATTCAGGGTGTCTTTGAATCTAGTCCTCTGTAGGTTGATCATTTTCATCAAATGAAAAGACACACACAGGGTGGTTTTGAAGTGGTTTAAAAAAAAACATCCTGAAGGGTATTTACATGGAGTACATATACATTACCCAGTAATACATAGCATAAGAAACACCCAGACAACACAGCTGTACTGTAGGGCCTGTATTGCCCACATCATATGGAGTCCAATAATTGCCTCCAACTCCAGAATGAAAAGACCTTAGTAGTCTCCATACAAACTACCTGGTCAACCACTTTAATATATGAAGGGGAATCATCTCTTGGTGGTGGAAGTGGCTCTGTCTCTACTTTTGCAGTAGATATTGGAGTGAGTACTGCAAGTAAAAGTTTTTATTTTCTTTTTGTACAAGAGGAACTCGAAAATGGAGATGTCACATACTCCGGTATTTATCAAGGGCTCCACTGAAGCAACAGAGCAGGCTGAAGATGAGTGTGAAGTTCCTACAGGAGAACCTGTCAAATTGCTCTGAATGGTTAAAGCGATAGATTAGATTCTCTACAAAATGACTTTGTAGCCTGAATAATCTTCATATCCAACACACCACATCTGTCAGTTGCCTATATCCTCCAACGTGTTCTTTGGTTCCTCCAATAACAGAGAGAAGGCTTTAGAGAAAGGAGCACAAGATAAAGAATATAGAAGTGTCTTCTATAACAGGAGCTTTCTCCATTTTAATTTTCTTTTCATCAAGAGTTACTTTAAGTAAATCACCATGAAAACTTTGGAAAGAGGTTTGGAAAGAGTGGAGAGGGATTAAAACACCTGTCTGTTTATTTTTATTGCTGTCTGTGCCCGTTAAAGAGATTCACCCTCTATTTGCCCTGTTTACCATTATATTTGAGAGTGAACATAAAGAAAAATCACATATTTTGGGTTGTCCCCAGAAAAGTAATAAGAGGCAACATCTTTCAATGGATTACTAGTTCTGGTGACCTTGGAGCCCCAAGGGATTCCCTTAATTTGCAGGGATTTGGTGTTTGGCTATGGGACAGGAAGTTAAAAAGGTAAATCTCCAAACTGGAACACATAGCAAAAATAAAATAAAATCACACAGGGGTTCTAACTCTCCCTTACTATATCAAAAATGGGGAAAAAAAATTTGCCTATAGTTCTACTTATGAAGGACTCTGAGCTTCCAGGATGCACCCGGTTTTCTTTTTCTTTTTATAAAAATAAAAAAAATGGGCGTACCTATAAAAAAAAAAAATTAAACAGTCTCTACCTTCTGCAAAATAGTAGATTTATTCTGGGATCCAGCGGCCAAATGTAATATTGGAGGAAGGACATCTTAAAGCCCACCCTTTGTAAAATGTTACACCAATATGCAGGATGTAACATTTTACAAATGCACCAGCCCCTGCAACCCCTTCCCCACATTTATTCATGGTGTTATGTGTATGGGAAAACTACAAGTCTTGATAGCCTTTGCGGCAGTCGGCTTGTAGTTTTCAGTGAACTACCAGAGAAATGTTGATCACTCATTGAGCTTCCTGTCAGTAACAGCCTGCTCATATCAGAGTTAATGACAGATAGACAATCTGCAGGACCATGGCATTACACCCATGCTTGGACAATTCATTTTGTACTACACTAACAATCGGCAGACTAACATCTCCCCCAATCAGATTTCATGCACAGCCTCTACCAGGGGCGGACTGACCATTTGAGCACTGCCCGAGGTCAGTAGGGGGCCCCATGAAATGCCCCAGTACCTTTTTATAGGCTTTTTTGAGTATGGGCAAGGACACAGGGGCCCCATGAGTTGTCAGTCTGCCCCTGGCCTCTACAAACCCTGACATCAATCCAGGTCAAGTAGAATACAGATGATGTGCACTACAGCACAGGACATGTCCAAATCTGAGCAGTCTGCTCAGCAAAACACATCCATGTATTGCTTAAGGCATGTTTCCATATTTAGGATAAAGTTTCTTCATCAGCACTGCTTTTAAAACAGGGGAAGTGTATCTGAAGTTTTGCAATGAGGAAGTGAACACTAGTCTTTTGCATGCAGAAGTGACAAACCACCTGTGCTACAATAAAACATGCCGAGATAGGAGTGAACACAAACTTTGATTTACACATCATTTTATGAAGTCAACACCGTGGCAGGAAAATGATTTACAAATAGTGCCCCCTACCGTCACCTTCAACTGCAACTTAAGCAATATCTGTCAATGTGTAGTGGAAGATATAGCCTGCCAAAGGATTCAGAATTCTGTGCAGCCAATCTTGTGAAAATTACTTCTATAAAAAGATTGAGGTGTATTTTCTGAAAGCAGAGGCTCCAAAAAAATGAAAGGGTGGTTGTTGAAGTTGTCACAAATAGGTTTGTGCTGCTCTTGATCAAAATGCTAATTCAGGAAAATACTTAAAATGGATCTTAGTGCACACAAGATCCAATTTTTTTATAAAATTTTGTGCCAAGTAAAATAGATACCAAACATGTCAAGATTTAATGCATGCCTGTGAAACTGCAACAAAATTTCTCCATAGGCAAATCTTTGGGTCAGTTTAGAGTTAAAGTTGTTCTAAAGTTTTTTTTTTTTTTTTTTTTTTTTTTTTTTTTTTTTTTTTTACACACTTCATGCATTCAGGGAAACCCCATTCCCTCCACACACACTGTACTACACATTCCATATAGTCCACTCATCTTAGCCTGATCCAGTGATACACACAAAGCAGCAGCTCTCACCATGGTCTCCCTCCTTCCCGGGCAGACTGATAGCAGCTATTGGCTCCCACTGCTGTGACGAGGGAGCAGATCAAAGCTGCTTAAGTCTGTCAATAGACAGAGGGCAGCATGGGAGCGAGCACACACATGTGCCCCTATAGCAAGCTGTGTGCCATGGGGACACTTGCCAAAGCAGTGGCAGCAGGGGACCAGAGGAGGATGGGGGCTGCTCTGTGCATTGCAATTGCACAGATCAGGCAAGTATGACTTTGTATTAAAAACACCCCAAAAGGTTAAATATCACTTTATACATGAGCTCTGGTGCTAGAGGTTATTGTTCAGCGATACCTCACATTTGCAAGTGAGCACAGGGGATGGTGGCACTTACATTTCAGTTTCCTTTTGCGTTATATTCAACATCCCTTGCGATAGCATGGGCAAATGACAGGTACTCAGGGATCAAGGGTCTATAATACCCAGATTCCTCCTCTGCCCTCCAAAAACAGCTATCCAAACCAAGTGTGACAAAAAGGCCTTGTTGCTTCCAAGATAAAATTTGTCAGAAGGGGAGGAAGAGATGTTCTGCCTTCTGTTTGGTAGCCCTGGGCTCTCTGGTGGAGCTGCCCAAACCACTGACCTCCCAATGATTAACAGATTGGTACCCTTGCAAGTGAGCAAAAAGTAGATCTCAGTGGGGCACATGTTCAATAAGGTTTTGCCCAGTGGTTTTCATAGTAATATTCACTGTTGAGTCACGGTTTAGGTAAAGTGTCTACTCTAATCCAGCCTAGGCAAAAATTCTACCTTCTATCACATAGGGGGTGGTTTTGGGAACAGACAACACAAACACTTCAGAAGCAGATTATTAATTTTTTTTTATCCAAGAAACTATATTTACATATGTGCAATCAAAAACACATAGCTTGAGATACATCTGCAGAAAAGCAGAGGAAATTCATATGACAATATACGATCATGAGATACAGTTTACCCAGTTTTCACAGACTCTAAAATTCTGGTTTAATGTAGGCCTGCATACAGTTTAAAGGATTAAAAATGGTCAGTCAAGTTACAGAAAAAAAAAATTCAGAATCATAAAATCAGTACACTTGGAAGTTAGTCTTACAAGGTAATGGAAGAAGTAGGTGAGCATATCAGCCAGTAGAAAACTGCAACTGAAACTGAAACTAACAAAACTCACTATACCTCCCCCAAAAAGAAACATGGGCCATTTTGCACAATGAGGGACATCATAACATTCCAGTGTTAGCTCAATCCCCCCCAACAGGTCAACTCAAAAAAATGGCCATTTCAATAGCTACCCCCTATAAGACTAAAGCTGGCAGTCAGACCTCTGATATCTAAACTTCAGGGAGGTCCTTCCAATCCCAATTTTGTTTGCACCCGACATCAAAAAAGCATTTTAAAATATCAAACGTACATAAAATAAAAAAATAAAAAACACACAGTAAGCCACTTAAATGCAATATTATATCAGTTTCTCATTTGATAAGACCCTGAGCTCTCCCTAATTGACACCTCTAACTTGAGGAAGGAGAGAGATCCACTTTGTTGTAGTGGAGGTGTAGACTGTGGCAGACATAAGTAAAAATGTCTGCCACAGTGTAAAAGTGTCTTCCGATGCATTTAAAGTGTCTAAAATTTTTAAGTAAAAGTCTTCACACTGGAGCCAGAACATTATCCTGGGACAAGCAGTAGTCCTGGACTCCGTTAGATGTGACTTCTAAGCTGTGTTCCATGAGGCAGCGCCTGTTGGAACATGTCGTTTGTGGTTAAATGGCAGCATTGTAAATTGGAGATGATCCCGACATATATCTTGGAGTTCGCATCTTCTGAGGAGGAGAAGCCACTCCAAGAACTGGAGGGACAGAGTGTTGCGGATCACAACCTTCATTACTAGGCTCCTTCACAACATGACGCTTATCCTTCTGTCGACGATTACAAAACCAAACACGGACAACCTGGAGAACAAACAGAAATTAAGCAAAAATGTGACAAACTATACACAAACCCTCTATGGGCCTTGCATCTTTGCTTCTAATATGAATGCAAGACTCCCTCCCAATTATCACCCTTAAAAGTCCTGGCTACCACTTTGGGTCATCACCAAGTTTTCAGCTTGGTGGCCCTGAGTCAATTATGGCCAGCAGTTTCTAGGCTCAAGAACCTGTAAGAGGGTCTTGCAAAGTCCCTACCCTTGCTAGAACACTGTCCTCCCACCGAGGCCAAACCCTCCACCATATTGTGCCCCATACAACGCTAGAGGCCTCCAGACAATACTCCCAGCCATAGAGGGCACACAGGCCTAGTGCATTACCATAAAAAGGTTTAATAAGAAATAAAATAGGTGTTGTACTCAGACAATAAAGTCAAGGCACATCATAAAAGAACAGCTGGGTTAACACCGCGCTGAGTAACAGTCCGTAATGGGGAATGTAGACATCCAATAGGCTGATGCGTTTCGAGGACTTGCCTCTTCCTCAGAGCCACTGGTGTTGACCCAGCTGTTTTTATGATGTGCCTTGACTTTGTCGTTTGAGTACAACACCCATTTTATTTCTTATTAAACATTTTTCCTGGTAATGCACTAGGCCTGTGCGCCCTCTTTGTTCTTTCCTCATTCAGTAGATTTGGATTCCCCCATCTGTTGAGGGCAGCAAGGTGTGCATGTTCCAGGACATTCTTAATGTGGTTGCAGCCTGCATCGAGTCCATCCCCAAGCGCAGGAGCATTTGTATTTACTCCCAGCCATAGACATTTACATCCCAAAAGGAAGGAATGTCCACATAATGTGGCTGCTGCACTGGTGGAACAGTTACAACATATTCCTGAGTCACTTGACAATATCACACTTTATGGACAGTCCATAGTCACATGTGAAAGCATAGGCAGCCATACGCCATCTACAGTCTCTTCCACCCAGGATCATTAGTACTCACAGGACTGAGTTTTCAGCAATCACCTCCTCTATGGGTACAGATCTCCAGTGACCTTCAGGGGGGGGGGGGGGGGGCAGCCTCACTTAAGCTCTTGGCCAGAAAGGCCTTTTGCAACCTGCCCTAGCCCCACCTGCATAATTGTCAGGAACAAGTCTACTTCTCCTTGACCTCTGTGTGCTGGTTACATTTATCAAAATCAGTTGCATCTGCTCTAAGGCTCCACCCAAACAAGCTTATAACTGGACAGACTCACCCCTGACATCACTGCAGGAAGGCTCCAACTAAAAAGGGGGCTAGTACCCAAATGTTACCGTCTGCTGTAGCCCAACACTATTCTGGTAACAAGCCACCTAGTAGCAGACTTGCCAACTGAACCTGCCTGCACAACCTTCACTATAAAAGCATAGTACTAAAAGTCTCGAAAATGGATACTTACATCCTTCTCCAAATAAAGGCCCTTGGCAATCTGCTCAATTTCCTGGGCATTTGGTTTTGAGTTGGCCAGGAAATAAACCTCTAGGTGGTTTTTTGCGACGCTTTCAATGGTTGTCCTTCGTTTCCTCTTTCGGGACTGAGCCAGTGCCTGTTCCCGACTGACCATCTAAGAAGCAAGAAAATAGTTAAGCATGGTTTCAAAGGCACCACATGCATACAATGGGCAGACAAATAATCCAACTTGACTATTATGCTATAAATGCCAAATCTAACAAATGTCAACTGGAGAACTGTTCTGACATTCTAGAGGGGGGGGGGGGGGGAAAAAAAAAAAAAAAAAAAAAAAAAGGAGACGGGCAGGGTCGCCAGCTAATTGACAGCCTCAGCTCTGTTCCTGTGTGAAGGGGGTGTGTCCCTTCCCCCCCCCCCAATCAGCTCTCCTCTGCAGAGCAATTTCAGCTTTCCCTTTTCTGACAGCTCAGACAAGCTTTATAAATTCTGGACTTTGAATGGATGTAGAGAAGACTGGGTATAAACCAGTCCACTGGGTATAAACCAGTCCACTGGGTATAAACCAGTCCACTGGGTATAAACCAGTCCACTGGGTATAAACCAGTCCACTGGGTATAAACCAGTCCACTGGGTATATGTTTCCAGCTAAGCCACTGGATCAGCCTGGGGAGTCAGCAGTGGCAGCCTCTATTAGTCACTCACTGAACCCCTTTTCCAAAGCAAATATACCTTTAAAAATGGCTGCTCACACCAAGTTTTTGGAACTACAAATTTTTAGAAGTTTAAGTGCAGCTTACCTCTTGAAGCTTTTCATTGCGTTGAGCCTCTTCCAGCCAGCGACTCAGAAGAGGTTTAAGGTGGCACATATTTTTATAGCTTAGCTGGAGGGACTCAAATCTACAGATAGTAGTTTGGCTGAACATCTTGCCTGTAGGGAAAAAAAAATTAAATAAATACTGTCTGGGGTCAAAACTAGACTTATAATGGCAAATTCATAATTTATTGATGGGTTAGAATTTCATTGTGTTCATTGTTTGTGTCCCGCTCTCCATGGACAGGATTTTTAGTCTCCCAAGGACTTCCTACTCCTGTTCAATAAACACTTCCCTAATAGGCTGTCTAGACAAAAAAAAAAAAAAAAAAAAAAAAAACACAGTTTTGGCACCCACTGTTATCCCCACAGTCTAAAAGCACAATACATATTTCAGTGCCTCCTTTCACACGTAGCAGCAGTCAGCTACAATCAGCAAGGAATCTAAGCAGATCCCCTGCTGCTCAGAGCCAAAACAGGATGGAAGTCACATCCATGCCCATTCAGTTTCTGCTTGGTGGACCCACATCAGCTCTATGAGTGACTGGGTGTAAACAGACTGCTGTTTTTACATCAGGTTTCCCCCCCTCCCAGCCTGCAAAAACCTGGAATGGATGCTGTCCTTTTCCTGGACCTGAATGTAGGCAGATATAAATGGACATGTCTGTTTATATCTTCTAGTCCATAGGGACTCATGAATATTCCAATCAGATCCACATGAAACATTGACAGGTGGACCCGAGCAGCATGCCCCTGTGAAAGGGTCCAAAAAAGGTTACTTCTGCAACTATGCTTCATGAGCCACAATATCCAGACTGAGAAACCTAAATGTAGCATTTGGAACACTTCATCACACGAATATCAAATTTATGAAGGGATGTTTTGGACATTCCAGGGAGATAACAAAAAAAACAAAACAAACCACACACAAAACCCCCACAAACAAAAGAAAACAAACTTTAGTTTTAGACAACAGTTTACATATAAATCACAGGAGGGGGCAGAGTGCTTACCAAAGAGAAGTCCCAAGGCACAGCCAACATCTTCTTGTGTAAACCCCAAAGCTACGCGCTTCTGCTTGATATCTCTAGCAAACTGTTCTATTTCCGCCTCACTGGGCATTTCCTAAAAAAAAAAAAAAAAATTATAATTAGATAATTATTATCTATATTATTATTAGATACACACGTTAAGCTTTTACTGCTGCTCATAACTGGGAAGGACACCTTTCCTCAAAATGTATGAGATTCTAGCAACTATGATCAATGGGATCATCAGATGCAATATTGCAACTTCTGCAGATGCCTCCTATAGCTACAGGCAGGACTGCTGTAAGAAACCCCAGGGTCCCATACATCCAATCTGGAACTTACAGCAATTACTGGAACCAAGTCCTTGTATGGCTCTCTACAGCAGCTGAGAACCAGTGGGAGGTGGAAGAGAATCTAGCTTTCAGATGCTGGGTACAGCCATACAGGTTATCGGTTCCAGTAATTGCCCCCCCCCCCCCCCCCCCTGTGCAGATCACCCTCCCCGCCCACATCAGATTCACCCAGCTGCTTGGGCCCCCTTGCTGGCCTGGGCCCTGTACAGGGGGACTGGTGGTGCCCCCTTATCCACAGCCCAGGCTACAGGTACATCAAATGGCAGGATGCTGCAGAAGTACCACCCCTGAACACTGTAAGGGGCGCTCAAAAACCAACCATGGATGGGTGTAACATAAAACATGGTCAAAAAGGCCAAAAAAAAAAAAAAACTAAAAAAAAAGCAGCCACCACATGCTATCAATTTGATTTTAGGGGCTCCATAATATTCAATATAAGAGGGTTCTCACATCTACTAATCTATCTCCATAACTAGAGTGTTGAGTATGGCACTGCCAATCCCACATCCTTAAAATGCTAGTTGCCTGGCTATCCTGTTAAACCTTTTACTTCAATGCATTAATTCACAGCCAGGTAACAGGTATGCAGAGAAGGACTTGTGAATTTCAATACAAAGCCAGCAACTCCCAGCATGGAACCCGGAGACTGAAGATAGAATGTCCTTATTGGTTGTTGCATGCACCTGGATAGCAGAAAGGAGTTTAATATTGAAGTCAATGAAGACCAGCTATAGATCGGCTAAACTAGCGACTTTAGCGATGTAGTCGGACTAGAACAAAGGCTAGAAGTCGCAGACTAAGCTACTTACCGGCGCGTCTCGCCCACCTTCGGCCGGAAGCTCCGCCTGGGCCCCCGGGCTGACCGCGGTCCCGTTGGGGGGTGATTCGCCCTCTTTGGCCAAGTCTTGGATGGGGGCGCTGCTGCAGCGTCTGGTCTCCGGGTTTGACGGAGGGGACTCCGCCGAAGTGTTGGGGCTCAGGTTGGGCGGGTACACGTTGGAGCCCGGGACAACGGAGGGCTTCTGGGGCTGGCCGTAAATATTGGGGTTCCCTGGCCAGAAGGCTGGAGACCAGGCATGGGGGTAATGCTGAGGAACCGGGTGACTCCTCTCTACGGATCCATCAGGGTCGTTGCGCTCTTCCTTGATCTCCCTGTTACCCACCACGTAGACGGTATCCTCTCTTAGCTGGTGACTTGGGGGTGCACAAAGATTGAGATGCCCGGGAGGCTCTAGCTCGGGATTTTGGCTCCAAGCCATGAAGTGAGCCTGATGCTCCCCCAGATCCTCACCATCTGCCCTCACAGTTGGGAAGAAGAAGGGCTGGGAGGGAGGGTGGTTGTGGTAACCCCCAAACCCATCTTGCATGATACTAGGGTTTCGGCTAAACGATGGGTAAGCCTGTTGGCTGTACATGGCTTCTAGTTCTGAAAAGTTTCTGCTCTTCAGAAGGGCTAAAAGGTTCAAGTCTTCCTTCACGTGCCTCAGTAAAACACTACCTGCTAGGATTGATCAAAAAGTCTGTCCAAAAGCCACCAGTACCTCACAGCCAAAAATAAGTCCTTCAAGAGCTGAACGATTGATACTGCCTTCACAGCCAAAAAGAAGTCCTTCAAGAGCTGAACGATTGATACTGCCTTCACAGCCAAAAAGAAGTCCTTCAAGAGCTGAACGATTGATACTGCCTTCACAGCCAAAAAGAAGTCCTTCAAGAGCTGAACGATTGATACTGCCTTCACAGCCAAAAAGAAGTCCTTCAAGAGCTGAACGATTGATACTGCCTTCACAGCCAAAAAGAAGTCCTTCAAGAGCTGACGATTGATACTGCCTTCACAGCCAAAGAGAAGTCCTTCAAGAGCTGAACGATTGATACTGCCTTCACAGCCAAAAAGAAGTCCTTCAAGAGCTGACCGATTGAGTCTACCTTCACAGCCAAGGTTCCTCACACAACTGATTCCTCTCCCAACCTGAAAGGCCATTAAACTGGTCTATTTACCTTAGAGCTGGAGATCCCACCCCCACCCCCAGCTGATGGTTATGTTAATTGATCCTATCATTCATTGGTTGGTCTACAGCAAATAACCCCCCACCATCCACCCACCAATGTGAATTAACCGTATTTTTTCCTAATGAATTTACCCCAGGAAAAAAAGTTATCAAAGTAAAAATATGTGTACTTGCTGCATGCTGGTGGTGGTGGTTTGACCCTTGCAGTGGGCATCATGGCTGCTAATCACATGGGTGATGCCTATATGCACATATATAATGGATAGCTCAAGGTTAGCAGGAATCTCCATATTAAATGCTCAGCAGGCATTTCTTTGTAAACTTTGATTGGACAGATTTTCCTTTCCTTGCATCATTGCAACCACTTTCCAGCCATTAGGGATCATAAACTAATCACCTGTCCCTGTTGTAAGGCACAAACTCATGACCCATCCATGGCTATGGGGCTATGGTGTATATTCAGATGATAGCCATGATATATATATATATACACACACACCATTTATTACCATGATGTATATATACAGTGGATATAAAAAGTGTACACACCCCTCTTAAAATGTCAGGTTTCTCTGATGTAAAAAAAGGAGACAAAGATAAATAATTTCAGAACTTTTTCCACCTTTAGGCTGGGTTCACACTGATGCGGTGCGGATTTTGCAGCGTTTTCTTCGCGAATTCCGCATCAAAATCGCACCCCTTTCATGCGAACTGCTGCGGGTGTGTATGTTAAGTTAACAACACCCCGAAATCGGTCTGCAAAGCGCAGTGCGATGTGCAGAATCGGATCGCATAGGTGTGAATACACGTGTGATCCGATTCTAGTGAGGACCAAAAATGGGGTCCTGCACCTTTTTAGTGTGGGTGAGGTGCAATTGGAGCCATACAAAATGTATGGCTCCAATTGCACCGCACAAAAATCGCAGGTGATTTGCACAGGAATGCGGTACGGTTTCTGTGTGAATCACATGCTATATACCGAAGCGCATATGTGTGAACCCAGGATAAATGTAACCTATAAACTTTACAACTCAGTTGAACAACAAACTGAAATCTTTTAGGTGGAGGGAAGTAAAAATAAAATACTAAAATAATGTGGTTGCATAAGTGTGCACACCCATAAACTAATACTTTGTTGAAGCACCTTTTGATGTGATTTCAGCACTCAGTCTTTTTGGGTGTGAGTCTATCAGAATGGCACATCTTGGTAATATTTGCCCACTCTTCCTTGCAAAAACACTCCAAATCTGTCAGATTGTGAGGGCATCTCCTGAGCACAGCCCTCTTCAGATCACCCCACAGATTTTCGATCAGGTTCAGGTCTGGGTTCTGGCTGGGCCATTCCAAAACTTTAATCTTCTTTCGGTGAAGACATCCCTTTGTTGATTTGGATGTACGCTTTGGGGTCGTTGTCATGCTGAAAGATTAAATTCCTCTTCATGTTCAGCTTTCTAGCAGAAGCCTGAAGGTTTTGTGCCAATATTGACTGGTATTTGGAACTGTTCATAATTCCCTCTACCTTGACTAAGACCCCAGTTCCAGCTGAAGAAAAACAGCCCCAAAGCATGATTCTGCCACCACCATGCTTCACTGTGGGTATGGGGTTCTTTTGGTGATGTGCAGTGATGTTTTTGCACCAAACATGTCTTTTGTAATTATGGCCAAAAAGTTCAACCTTGGTTTCATCAGACCATAACACATTTTCCCATATGCTTTTTGGGAGACTTCAGATGTGTTTTTGCAAAATTTAGCCAGGCTTGGATGTTTTTCTTTGTAAGAAAAGGCTTCCATCTTGCCACTTTACCCCATAGCCCAGACATATGAAGAATATGGGAGATTTTCCAGATATTCCTTCAGCTCCTTTCATGTTGCTGTAGGCATCTTGGCAGCCTCCCAGACCAGATTTCTTCTCATCTTTTCATCAATTTTGGAGGGACGTCCAGTTCTTGGTAATGTTACTGTTGCACCATATTTTCTCCACTTGATGATGACCGTCTTCACTGTCTTGCATGGTATATCTAATGCCTTGGAAATTATTTTGTACCCTTCTCCTGACTGATACCTTTTAACAATGAGATCCCTCTGATGCTTTGGAAGCTGTTTGCGGACCATGGCTTTTGCTGTAGGATGCAACTAAGAACATTTCAGGAAAGACCTACTAAAACAGCTGAACTTTATTTGGGGTTAATCAGAGGAACTTTAAATGATGGCAGGTGTGTACTGACTCCTATTTAACATGATTTTGAATGTGATTGCTTAATTCTGAACACATCCCCAGTTATGAGAGGGTGTGTACACTTATGCAACCGCATTATTTTAGTTTTTTATGTTTACTTCCCCCCTAAAAGATTTCAGTTTGTTTTCAATTGAGTTGTACAGTTTATAGGTCACAATAAAAGTGCATATATGGTTGGGGTCCCCTGTGTATATGTAGGTGGGGTGTTGGGGGGTATGAGGGCCCCTGTATACAGGTGGGGTGTTGGGGGCCCCTGTGTATAGGTAGGCAGGGGGGTATGGGAGCCCCCATGTACAAGTAGGTGGGGTGTTGATGGGTATGGGGGCCCCTGTGTACAAGTAGGTGGGGTGTTGTCACTCTGGTGCAGGGTGAGGTTGATGGAGTGTGGGTACTGGATCCTGGCCAGCATGGTTTGATGATGGGGGTCCCTATCTATGGGGGTAGATAGGTATGGTGGGATGGGGTCCCTGTGTACAGGTATGGAACTGAAGTGGGT